CATAGTAGGAAACAAAGTATTCGACAGCATTATTGGAAAAAGAGATTTGAATTCCTGGTAGAGCTGTGCTGCTAACGTTTTATTATGGGCTAAAATGAGCGTAGGTTTTTGGGTTTGCTGAATAACATTTGCCATTGTAAACGTTTTTCCAGAGCCTGTCACTCCAAGAAGCACTTGGGCTTTTTTTGAGGTGCTTATTCCAGTAGATAACTGCTGAATCGCTTTTTCTTGATCGCCACAAGGCGAGTATTCAGATTGAAGTTGAAACATGGTTATAACGCTCAAGAAGAGGTTTAAAAACCCCTTTTTGTTGCATGACATCTGCAATAATAAACAAAACCCCCGCGGCAATGATCACACACAGGAGGGCTTTCTTTAAGGGAGATTGATACTGATTAGGTTTTTTTAGTTTAAGAACCATTAATGAAGGAAGGATCACTAAAAGCACTGCAACAAAAGCTCCCGCATATTCAAGAGCTACAACAAAACCCCTCTTGTAGACAACCAAAAATATTAGCGGGGGGATAAACGTTAAGAGCACAGAAAGGACCCGGCCCTTGAATCCTTTTGAACCCAAACGAAGACCATCTGATAAAAAATCCGCAAGGGATAATGATACCCCTAAAAATGAGGTGATAATCGCAAAAAATGAAAAGAATAGAGCCGAAACTCTGACAAAAGGAGCATCAAGAACCCGAGACAAAGTCATCGAGATCGATTCTCCCGAACTCCAAGCGCTAAATAAGCTCACTTTTCCTGAAAGAGGAATAATCCCCACGGTTATCGCTTCCCAAAAGATGTAAATTAGTAAGGGGATAATGCTTCCAACCACAAGGGTTCTGCGAAGCATTTTACGGTTATGCTGCATGTATGTTGTTAAACTGGGAATAATAATGTGATATCCAAAAGAGGTAATCAGGATAGGCAGTGTAAACAACGTAGGAGACCAGTCTACATGCATTAATCTTTCTGTTTGCACATGCGCTGGCAACATTGCAGACAGTAAGATAAAACTTATGATAAATCCGACCATGAGAATACGATTTACAATATCTACACCTTCTGTTCCGAGGTAGACAAACCAACAAAAAAGTCCCGGCAG